ATTATTTTTCTATGACTTTATTTATTAGATGAATATCAGTTAAAAATGCCAATTTTTTATAAATCTTGCTCAAAGTTAGCTGGCATTTACCGCGGGACCAATTAATATCTCTATCTATTCTGTAATGAATATGCGTAAAACCCATTAGATTATCATTTAATTATTAGCCTGGGTATGCTATTTGATTTTGTTATTGTTATCAAAATAAACCTTTTGCCTCAGTTATTCAGACAATTGTATTGTCAAATAATCTGTCCTACTACACATTATTAGCCTATATGGGTAGTACAAATTTGTGTTCTTAAGCAATATGATTAGCTGCCGAATTCTATTAAATTAGACCATTTTTGAAAACTGATAGTATGGATATGATTGAAATATGCTCACATAACTTCCTTAATTTATGATGCTAGCTTTTATAAAAAAACAAAGAATAAAGCTATCTAACACAAAAGCCTGCCTTTTATTCGTGGCAATGATCTTTAACATAAGGTAATAATTCAGAATAATTTCAAAGATCCATAATGATGATAATGTAAAAAGAGCGAGGTCTTTAAACAATTATTTTTTTTAATCAATCACAAAAAAAGATGTTTGTATCTCTATCTTTTGTTAATTGGAATGATATCAGTTAAACGAACTTCTGCTAATAAAATTTTTCTTTCAACTTTTATTATATTTTTATTCAATATAAAGCTATTTTTTATTAATAAAAATTTTTACTCAAACCTGTTCCAACATTGATTTAGGCACTTGAGAATACTCTAAATCTTTTACAAAAGTTTTTACAAGCAATACCCCTCAAAACTATACAAAAGCTGTTCTAGTAAATAATACAACTAAACTAAAAATTTTGTAAGTAAAAAATTATTTAAAACTAGTCTAATTTTTTAAATTATTTTATTTTATTAATTTATTTATTCAAATCTAGACAAAATTTATTTATTAGTTACAGTATTTTAGATTTAAAATCAACAAACCCAGTTTACAAGTCAAGAGCATAAAAACTTATTTACCATTCTATAATATCCTTTGAATCATTTATTCACCTTAATTATTTCATTCAACTCTTCAAAATAATATAAGGGTTTTTCTTTAGAATTAGTGAAAGTGCATAGAAGATTTTAATGTTTAAGACATTTTCAACACTTTAAGTTATATCAAATCTTCTTTATTGTTAAGATTTCAAAATAAACAATGAAAAGTTTTTCGAAAAAATTTAGTTCTATTATGAAATTTTAAAATTTACTTGTTTAAAGCGCATCTAGAAATAGACTAGAAAATGGTTATATAATGAATTACTTCATCACCTTAATTAGCTCTAAACATAAAAAATATTTATTAGTCATTAAAATTAAAATTAGAAAGCTAGTTCACAAATCAAGAATACTTATTTACCATTCCATAATGCCTTTCGAATCATTTTATTTACATTAATTATTTCATTCGGCCTATGAATAAGATCAAATCAAAATTCTAAAATAAATACTTTGGTATTTATTAATACATAATGCTTTTAAATTATTTTATTTACATTAATTACTCTCTTTGGTTTATAATCTTTTAAATCTTTATTCAGCCTGTAAGTATAAAAATGTTATTGTAGAATTAATTAGCAAATCATGTTTAAAATTAACCACATTAATTACTCTTTACAAATTCTTCTCATACTTTAATTACCTTCTATTCGTCAACTTTAGTTTTGTGCTATTCCAAACTACATAAATAAAATATGATTTCTTGTATGAAGATAAAAAAATCCTCACGATCTTGATAACTTACAACATATGCCTATATGCATATTCTCTTTTTGATATAGCCAATACTATAAAACTTGTAATTTCATTTAGGTGCCATGTATGCCTACCTGCATGCATATTCTCTTTTTGATACAGCTTCACATAACCAATACCATGGAACCTGTAATTTTATCAGGTACCATCATTAGAAAATTTTTAAATAGGGTGGAATCGATTACTAGCTGCAGAGGCAGTTGCTATCAATTAAAAAATTGACAATAATCGATATTGCAGCTAATTGATACACAATCAATTTTAACTTAGTTTTAATATCAATCAAAACGATTCTAATCAATTTTAATTAGCTTTGTTGTCAATCGATTTTAATTAATATCACCTGTAATCAGCAGGGATGCTGTTAATCGATTGTCAACTAATTTAAAATTTTCTTGATGATGTATGCCTATCTGCATGCATATTCTCTTTTTGATACAGCTTCGCATGACCAATACCATAGAACCTGTAATTTTATCAGGTACTATCATCAGGAAATTTTTAAATAGGGTGGAATCGATTACTAGCTGCAGAGGCAGTTGCCGTTAATTAAAAAATCAACAATAATCGATATTGTAGCTAATTGATACACAATCGATTTTAACTCAGTTTTGATATCAATAAAATGATTCTAATAAATTTTAATTAGCTTTGTTGTCAATCGATTTTAATCAATATCACCTGTAATCAGCAGAGATGCTGCTTATCGATTAATATTTCTTTCTGTTAATTGATTTCCGATTAATTTAAATTTTTTTTGATGATGTATGCCTATCTGCATGTATATTCTCTTTTTGATACAGCTTCCCATGACCAATATTATAGAACCTGTAATTTAAAGCTATAAAACTGATCAAAAAGTTAATATGTTAATGATATACAAACTAAAAAAAAAATGCATAATTTTAAGGAATATTTAGTAACAAAAGAAACAAAGAATACATGCAACAGTATAGTCAGCCTTCACTAAATACAACTTGTAGGAATTAGACTTTGACAACTTGCATTAATAGAACAATAAAAAAATTGTATTTTTAAAGTCTGATATATATCTGGGCAAGAGTTAAAGATCATATTCAGAAAGATACCGTACTTAAAAGGGTCGCATTTAGGGAAGGCTAGTTGTAATTCCTTTTTAAGAGCTCTCTTCTACGTATAAACATATGAAAAAAAGAGCTATTGCTATAATAAATATCACAAGTGTATATCAAGAGTAAAGTAACTAGTATAAGAGGGCTTTTGCTTTTACCAAATAATTTTTATACCTTTAATTCTTCTAAAATTAAAAGAAAAAAAAAAAAAAGAATAAAGTACTAGAGCAACCATAAAAAAAAAGAGTGACCATTTCAATAAAAACAAAACAAGAAATATGTCAACGAAAACGCAATGTTTTATTTCTTACTATTGATTAACTTTCAGAAGAATATGGCTGTGACCGAACCACAATATCAAAATCCTAAAAGAAAAGAACAAATGGTTGTCCATGCAGCTAACAAAGCCTGAAAAAAAAAGGTCAATTGATCAGCAAATTTTATAGATTTAGAAAATGTTATGATTATTTGGACAAAATGGGTTCTTTCACAAAATAGAATACTAACAGATGGAATTTTATAACTTTAAGCCAAAAAATTTGCAGGATTATTAGGCATACCTAATGCTGATTTCAAAGCAAGTCAAGGTTGGGTAGATAGGTTCAAAAAAAGGAATGACCTTCAGAAATATAAGTTTCATAGAGAATCTGAAAGTGTGCCTGTAGAAAACCTTCCTAATCAAAGACAAAAGTTGGTCGAACTACTTTTACAATATAATCCTGAAGATGTTTATAATGTCGATGAAACTGGTCTATATTATAGGTAGGGTTATATAATTTCATAATACAATGACATAAATTGTACTTCTTAATTATTATGTAATCAAAATTAAATACCTTACAGCGGTTAAATAAAAAGTAAAAAAAAAATATAAATTACATGAAAACTAATTAACTTATGGCAAACTTGTATAAAATTATAGCTTAATTATAGGATGATGCCTAATCAAACACTTGCAACAAAACTAGTAAAAGGACAAAAAAAAGTTAAGGATAGAATAACTATTCTTTTTTGTATAAATGCAACTAGCATGGATAAACTCAAACTGTTAGTTATAAAACCACATTGTTTCATAGGCATTCGACAAGAAAATCTTGGTATCAAATATGCTGCTAGTAAGAATGCATGGATGACAGGAAGCATTTTTGAATATTGGATAAATTCGTTAAATGCTACATGCAGATTAAAGAAAAAAAATATACTCTTATTAGTTGATGGTGCCAAATACTATTCAAACTGTGAACTTACTAATATCAACCTTTATTTTTTACTACCCAATACAACACCTTATTTACAACCATGTGATGCTGGATTGATACACTCATTTAAAGCTCATTATTGTAAATTGTATCTTCTAAATATTATCGATGCTATTAATAGCAATAAAGAAATAAGTCACATTAACCTTTTGCAAGCAATTAGGTAATAAATTTTTTTTAAAAAAAAATAAATGTCATGGCTTAAGCTGGAAATTAGAGATTAAAATTTCTAGCTTCAGCCATGACAATAAATAAATAAGACTAAATAAAAAAATAATAATGATTAAATTTATTAAACTTATAATAAACTACTAATTATTAATTAAAAAATTCATACCATTCATATTTCCATAATCAGGTTCATTACAGAAGCATGAGATAATATAACTTCTCAAACAATTATTAATTGCTAGAGGAAAACTAAAATAGTGCCGTCAAATGAGTAGAATCACTTAAATTAGAATGTATCAAATGAAGAAAAATTTGAAGTCGAGGCTAAAACTGAAACTGAAGTAGAAGTAGAAGTTGAAGTTGAAGTTGAAAACCTTATTTCTGATATCTCATCCAATTATATGCGTATAATGTCTGCTAATGATTTTATTTGAATTGATAAAGCTTTTGAAATCAAAGAGGTTGTTTTAGATGAAGCTGCTATTATTGAAGAGGTCCTCTATCAATCAGATTCTGGTAGTAGTGATGAAGAAAGTGAAGTTAAATTGAAAAAATTTCTCATACAGTTGCCTTGAAACAATGTAGTTTGCTAATACAATATGTAGAACAACAAGAACCAGGAAATTTGTAAAAGATCAAGATTTACCACAATTGTAAAGCTTGTTAAGATGAATTCATCTACACATATTCAAATCAAAAGAGCAAAAAAAGGTATCTGATTTTTTTAATTTAATTAGATTATATGAAAAAGGTAAATTATATTTGAGAACAATAGTAGCAAGAGCTGTATACTTGCTTTTTTTTTACTTTCAATATGATAGTTTTATTTTTTTTTCCTTGTATTTTTGGTAGATTTTTTTTCTGTTCTGCTACCTTTTTACATCATCTTCATTATCTATAAATTACAAACTGTGTAAGAATATGTATTATAGATAAAGATATAGCAAACAACGCTTATTATATTTATCAACTTAGGGTTGTGCAGTATTATCATTATTGCTTGATCTTATAGTGTTTGCATCACCAAAAAATGGAATTAGTAACTCAAGGAAACCTTTAGCTTCCAGGTTTAATAAATAAACTCTATCTTGAATATAAAAAAATCAGAGTATGCGTCAATTTGGTAAAATTTTATATCATGGCTTGGTAATTTATAGAACCGAGTATGTAACCTGATTTAGATCTGAGATGCCCAGACCTAATTATGTAACTTGAATTAGATCCAGTACCTATATGAAGCACAAAAAACTCGTGAAAAAGCAAAAAAGCATTAGTTGGTTAGAAAAATGAAAGAACCATAGATGCTAAAAAATAACAAATAAAAAATAAGAAGTAATACTGATACTATACTTATCTTTTGTTTTAAAATACAGCTTCTTATTGGTTAAAGCTTTATTTCATATAAATAGCCAATCTCTCTTTGTTATCTACCCTGCATATATCAACCAAATTACCTGATTCAAATAGGTTGATATTAACAGAGGTAAATTGTATTTATTTTTTATTATATATAATTATGTATAAATAGATGCTAAATTAATTTCTTTTTTAATATATTTTTTTTTTATATTGCCAAGCATAGAAACTTTATTAGTCAAGATTAACACCTTTTTACAAAACAATTGATATACAGTTTCTAATTATATTTGTGCTACTATTACTAGTTACCAACGTGGTATTATACTCATTATTTTCCTATATTACTTTTCTATTAACTATTTCAAGCCAACTTCAAGCTAGGATCGGTTGGAGCAACCTACCATTACACGTCCCACCATGTAATTATTTTCTGTAATTTTCTTCCAATTAGTACATATTAACTGCTACCATTGTGTTTGTATCTCATGCCACCTTTTGGGGTGCGGCCATAACACAATCTGTATCTCAATTTCAACTTTCTAATTAGTCTTAATTATGTACTATATTACAAGATTTTCTATTGTTATTTATTTTCGTACTTATTACACTCCTCTATCTTCTTTCTATAGCAACCTTATAATTCTCTCAAATTGGTTTATTTCAGCAGTTTTTCACTTTTCTTGCTCCCATATTGGTGTACATAGTCCTCCATGTATTGGTACTGTATGGCATGGCTAGATTTATTGAATCTCCAGTTGTTATCTGCAATATACTACCTACTTTATACAATACTTCCATAGTTGGTATGATTGACTGTAGTATGAGCGCCGAAGCTTCCCAATATAACTATGTTATATGAGTATACTACTGATAATCATTTTACTTCCAGCTTGGTGATGCAAGAAGGCCTGGAACCTTGTCTTATAGCATATCAGTATGGCACCTATCATCGACATTGTGATATACAGTGTTTTCCTTATTAGTTTTCCAATTTCCAATCTTGTATTTCAGAGGTGTTCTTTTATTTGGTAAAGCCATCCTCTTACTACAGCCCCTTACTGTATTCACCGCTTCTCTCACCACTTCCAGATATACTGCATTTAGTTATCCTTCCAATCAAGATCCCCAAGACCACCTTAGGGTTGTTGGTACTACCTAACCAATCGAGAATTTACATGCACAGCCTTATGTGGTATTACTTTCTGTAATGCCATGTTACAAGTAGTGCCTAGTCTTCTCTATAGTTTGGGACTCTTTTCAAGAATTCTTTATAAGCCAAATATGTACTTTATATGGTCTTATTGTCACAGAGTTTCATATTCGAAACTCCTATAGATTACAGAGATAATTAATTAAATTAATTAGGGGGCTGACAAATATTAGCTCATTATACCCCCCCTGGGATTTTTACTTAGTCTCACCCAGAGTCAGTCATTTGACACAGTAAAACTTACAAAAAATGCATAATTAGGTTTTTGACAGTTGACAACATAAACTGTCAAAAACCTAATTATGTATTTTTTGTAAGTTTTACTGTGTCAAATGACTGACTCTGGGTGAGACTAAGTAAAAATCCCAGGGGGGTATAATGAGCTAATATTTGTCAGCCCCCTTACCACTAGCTATAATCGAACTATTGACCTTGTCTGTGGATTTTAATATTTTTTAAATTATTATTTTAAGAGTTAATATAGTTATATCTGTAAAGTATATTAAAATTTTTTGTACTTATTATTTTGATTATACATATAATATTATAAAAAAAATAGTAATACTGACATTGTTTAGGTTAGAGTTAGAGTAATAACTATTTTAGGTTTAGGGTTTAGACTATTATATAGTAAAATCACTTAAAAAAAACTTTTTATTAATACACAAAAGATGGTTTAGTATATAATTTCTTGCAAAATAAGCGATTTTTGTCAAAATGAATATTTGTTTTAAATTTTTTTGATCATGTAATATTACACCTAATCTTGAATTTTAGTAGTAATCTATAGATTATATGATACAGGTATATGTACTTTTAGATACATATATATCATTTCTTTTTTAATATTTTTATATATATTTAATTGATGATCCGGATAAGATCGGCATAATTACTATATTGGGACAATAGTAAAATTTGGGGATAAGTACAATATAACTTTTTATTATATGCTGAAATCTGAGCGGAGTCGAATGAAAAGTATTTTTTT